ATATATATATATATATATAATCAATAGAACTTCTATAGTTAATTTAAACTTAAATGTACCATTTTCTGTTCCATTTTAAGGCCTCTTGGAAATACATAGCAGGTTTCAACAAATCAACAGGGTCAGCAACATCAATGGCACCTGACAAAATCTTTCTCTTCCCTTTTCACATTCTCTAGATCTCTCTATCAAACTTTCATTCCTTCATTCTCTCTGTGCATGGTTAATAGGACGTTCACATTCAACATTTATAAATGCCAGTGGAAATATCATCGGCGTGTCGTAATGTACAACAGCAGACCTGACAGGTCTCCATCAGACGGAACACGCACCTGCAGGTCACCGCTTTAATTATTCATTCTCAAGGGCCCTTATTCGGCTCCCTCTAAAAGCAGCACCCTTCACCAACGTTACTCAAACAAACAACGTAACAAGCAAACAAGAGAGGAAGAGAGTAGAAAATAAAGAGGGTTGTCGTTATTGCTGGAGGTTATTACCGTATGAGCGCAAAGCAGACACTAATGCTCTCAGACACAGCTTGACACCCTGTCAGAATACCTCAAAGGCTGAATTTACGCACATTTTAGTCCCCAAACACACATACATCCTCTTCTCAGCCTCTTGCGGGTTTGAACTGTCAGTCTCCCTAAGGGGGTGAATCCACTACTGTTTACTCTCTGCCTTTGTTTCTCAGGCGAAGCTGTTGCAATATCTCAGAGAGTGAAAGAAGAGAGTCGTGCAGGAAAAAAAAAGAGAGAAAAGGTGGGGAGGACAGGGGACACCTCTGAATGTCAGAGGATGATGAGATTTCACAGTCTCTAAATCTCGATTTCGTCTGTGCCAGTTTAACTAGCTCTTAATTAAAGCTACCTTCTCTCGCTCATTCAGACACACTCGCACAGCGAGAGTGAGCCAAGTTACAGCTGCCTGCATAATGACATAATTACCATAGTCGTAAGAACAGTGGCTGTTTAATGTCTGAAGGTATACATGCATATAACACCATGTCTCGGCTTCTGAAGAGACAAAAGAACAGACATTCTTGAGAGACGCAGAAGAACATTTCAGACTGATTAGCTGAAGCCTCCGAGAGAAAGAACACAAGTTCTGAAGTTTTCCTGCCAGTGATTTCCAAATGTGGCGCCCACACTGTAATTACAAGACCATTAACGGGAAGACAAGATCTGTGTTAAACATGGCATTGCTCTCTGTGGTTAATAACAGACATGTCATCGAGCCCCTAGTTGCATCAAACTAGCAAACATCATTTGTCTGCCATGTCCACTTGGTCTTGAACCTAAGAAGTCTTTCGCTTTCATCAAAGTCTGAATTATCCTGCCTTACACACCTACTGATTTTCTCATCAAACACAGAAATCCAATCAAATTTTTAAAAGTCCACACATTTACGTCAAATTTTGTTACTGGTAATAGTAATTATGGGGCAAAAAGGGGAGATTGTGTTGTGTGACAGTTGATTGGGGTTGACGGGTGTCAGGGTGCTGCTGGGCTCGGACCTGCCACTGATGGTGATCTCGTCCACGGCGTAGTAGCGATGACGGAAAGGAACCGCGGGATCTTGGGTGTGGTACTGGGCGTGGAGGTGGATTCTCACATGCGTGGCTCTTACAAATTCCTGCAGGGCGGCACTGTTGTAGAAGTCATTGTAGCCCGGTCGCAGGTTCGGCTCGGGTGTCAGCATGCTAAAGGTGATATTTCCGCGGGAGAAAGGTATGTTGCTGATACAAAAGACAGACAAAGAACACACATTTAAGTTTGCAGTTGTTAAAAGAACATTCAGGCTGCCTTTGAAGCAGTGGTTCTCAACCAAAGGGCCAGGATCAACTAGGTGGACCCAGCACTCTTCCAGAGAGACCACAAAATTGGTTAAAATCAGACAAAATGAGTTAAAATGTGACAAAAAAATTAGAAAAATGGCTAAACATATTCTTTTTTTTTTTTTAACTTGGGTACTCTATATGAGGGAGTTTTTAAATTGTAATTTTCAGACCAGAAAAGATCATGGAAAACTTTATAATGAATATTATTTTAAAAGGATATGCAAAGCTCTAAAATACTTTTCAGGCTGAAATAGCTATTTGTGAATAAAAAAAAAAATACTAAAAAAATATCTTCATTTTTGGGTGAATGACCCCTTTAAAAGTGATACAAACATAAAATGTACCCTATATTATCCAACTGACTAAAAAAAGAAAGAAAAAGGAATAATATTCCTGCATCTTAAGCTTTGAGTGATTGAAAGAGAGAGATTTTCAAGTCTTGACAGGGTAACACGTTGTCAGGCTGAAAATGAAACGTGTCACAAGCTACTGAAATGAACAAACATCAAAGAAATTGGAAAAGCAAAGGTATTTTCTTTGCATCTCAGAACTACTGAGAGGAAATTTCACTAAAACAGGTTTAAAATATAGTTTAGTGATATGGGGTTTCAAAGGGAGATTTCTCGAAGGGCAGGAATAAATGGGGTGAATTAGATAGTTATCAAGGTCTTATCAGGGGGCAGGACAGGCTGCATAGCCCCTACTGCATTATTCGCCGCAGAGCACTTCTGCACGTTTCAGCACTAATACTGGTAGACTTATCCGGGACAAACCTGTGTGAAGAAAGTCTTTCGTCCCCATCTCTCTCTCCTTCTCCATCTACCTGTGCTCTCTGTGTCTCTCTTTTCCCACATGCTCCGATGTGACATGTCTGAAGAGTCTAAGTGCAGACCCTTACGCCACTGGCCTAAAGCTTTTGTTTGTAAACTAAAATATTCAGACAGGTAGTGAAACATCTGGCCAGTATGGCGTTCATCCAAACAGGACCAAACTTAGCAGGAGGTACAGCTAACATTTTAAACATATTCATCATGACCCAACTTAAAATGTAGTGTGATACAGTGATATACTAAATTAACTATGATTAATTTTGTGATTCAAGAACATTGAAGAGTTCTTCAATAAAAACAACAGTTATTGAGGGGGAAAATTAATATGATTTTTTTAAGTTCACAGTTAGATTATTTGGTTTGATTTTATTTTATTAATCAAAAGTATTAATTTAAATACTTAAATAATTAAAGGGGTCATATGAAGTTGCTAAAAAGAACATTATTTTGTGTATTTGTTGTAATGAAATCTGTTTTTTTTGCGGTTTAAGGTTTAAAAAACACATTATTTTCCACATACTGTACATTATTGTTTCTCCTCTATGCCCCGCGTCAATTTTTACAAAGCTCATCGGTCTGAAAAGCGAGGTGTGCTCTGATTGGCCAGCTATCCAGTGTGTTGTGATTGGCCGAATACCTCAAGCGTGTGACGGAAATGTTACGCCCCTACCATATTGTGATGCCCTGTCCGGCCAGTAGCGACGAGACAAAAACATTAAAACCCATTACAAACGAGGCATTTGTTGCATCCAGTGGGGACATAATTACTGATTATAATGACTTATACTGTCTTTTTACGCGTTGCGTTGCATCGCTCCGCGTAAACATAAAACCCTGTCTGCATTTGTGATCGGAGAAATGACCAGTGGGGAACCGTCAGGGCCCTCTAGGCCTAACTTATTGTAAAAACAATATTTACAATTTTTAAATAAATGCTTTAAAATATAATATTTTTAATAAAAAAAATAATGATTACTAATTTTATTTAAGCAATTCATAATTTGACAAACATCATCTAAATAAAATAAATACAACGTCTGTGAAAAAAAAACCTCTTCAAATCTGCATATTCAGTGAATGGACTTATTAACACCGCCCATTTTCTCCATATTTTAATGTTTCCGCCTAGCGTTTGCGGATCTGAGATTCGTGGTCCAGCTATGAAATTACAGAGGGACAAGCAATAGTAAATCAACGGTAAATGGGGGAGTAATTTCGAATGACAGAAAAATTGACCAATCATATCTTTCCTCTAAATGGGCGGGCCTTGTTATCACTAACTTTATGACAAGTTCCGCCCGCTGTGGGGATCTCTCGGAAAAAAAATATATATAGCTGATAAACAGTGTTGGCAGTAACGCATTACAAAAGTAATAATATTACAGTAGTATATTACTTTTTGCTGTAATGCAGTAATATAACGCATTACTAATCAAAATTGGGTAATATTATTACAACAACATATTTTAACTCAAAATTAAGTGGTGAATTTACTAACACCGCAAAACAGCACCAGAGAAAAAATTCCACGGGTAAAATAGTTTGTCTGTTTCCTGTTGCTGGAATTAGATGGTTGAGATGACTGCAGAGACGGATTCTACATTTGTGAGATGGACACACTCCTGTTATTTTCAGTTCATCGGAGAAAAGGATAAGAATGCATAGTCAGGTGCAATATGTGCGACATCAACATGGAGAAATAGCACGAGTAAAACCTGGAAACATCTGGACTGGTGCCACTAACACTAAGCTATCGGAGAGAGCTGCGGGGTCGGAGAAGTGAAAAAAGGCGGCGGCATTTGCTACTCGTTAACGCGTTAACTTCCCCTATAAATAACATGATGCTCTGCCCTCTATGACGCTGCTCCCATTAAGCGCTGTTGGAAGTCAATGAATTGATTCAGCATTTCGACACCTCCGTAAGGATGAATTTAACTCGACAAAGCGGTCTAATAAAGGATGCACTGATCTCGTGAATTAGCGAATTTTACTATACAAATATTTTTTAATTGGATGTTAAAGTTTATATGGGAATAATACATGACACGCTGATCCTTTAACAATGCATTGGCGCAAAAAACGCACACCTTTTGGACAAATCTGCCACAAATATTTGGACAAATGTGCCACAAAAGTGCCACAAATACTGCCTAAACAAAATACTGATTTTGTGCACTTTATTTACTGTACCAAAATTTTAAATTGGCCTTTGAACTTAGCTTTATTGCATGGCAAAAAAAAGCTTTACCTTGCCAAAGCACTGACAGAGCCCACTGATCTAACGGCGTTGTTGAGCGCTCCAAATGCAAACTTTGCATGCAACAATCAGGCAGCAATTGACAGCACTCTGATCTAGTGGTATACAGGCATCGTCAGATTGACAGTACTCTAGCCCAATAATGTTGGGGGATCCAGTGGGGGCAGTCATATTTCAGGGTGACTGTGCCACTCTTTATCACAACCCTGCTAAAAGTGCCAGTACGTGCGGTCATTGGCGCCCCTTCAGCTGGTGGCGCCCTAGGCGACCGCCTAGCTCGCCTATGCCTAGAAACGGCCCTGGCAACATGTATCACACACTGAACGCGTCGCGTCAGCAAACAGGATGAGAAATTGCGATGTGATCTATAGCACAATGAATCACGGAATTTATTAGAGCCACAGATAGACAAACGTTTTGCTAAAAAATGCACAATACACAATCTTCCAACCTAGGATGAAGTCATTATGTACATTAACAATAATTTGGGACAAATATAATGTAATTTAATGGAAAATAATATGAGTGGCGCTGAGGCGCTCTGTGGCGAGGCAGGATTATGAACAGCGCCCGGAGTCGGGATCCGCAGACAGTCGCCGGTGGCGCCGCCGGTGTGCATACAGTCATGGAAAACAATGTGTGGAAATTTTAAAGACGTGGTGCGGCACGGTGCAGGGCTGCACATGTCGTCCGGAGTGCGACTGTCTTAAGGCTGGATAGCCTCTTGTTTCAGAGGGGGAATTGTCAAAGATGACTTTTAGAAGAGGACACCGTAAGCTAGGCTGGTAGTTGGTAGACGAGGGTGGAGGGAGATGGCCTAGGCTCAAGAGTCACGGTTCGCTACTGGAAATGACAAACAACAAGCGCTACTCTACACTGCTCAAAACTCATGTTTGAATCGTAAGTGGCAAATTCGTTAAATATAAAAAAATGTACTTACAGTCTGTGAGTCAGAACAGCCGGCATTGTAGTCTACTCTACCACGATCAGGAAACAGTCCTCCATAAAATGCGCTGCACACATCTGAATATTTGGGTTGAATCTGGAACAGTGTTGTGAATACAACTTAACCACCGATTTCTAGTCGTGTCCTCTTTTGGAAGGCCAAACAAAGTAGTTTCACTTTTACAA